TCGCAGATTTTCCAATAATAAGGTAACGTACCAAAGAAATTCATAACTTGACGGCTAATTAACTGGTTTGTGGAATATGTGACGCTTATCACATAGCACATGTTTAGATAACAATTCACAACGTATACATTGAAACTTGAAACTGTCAATCCACCAAAATATTTCGCAATTTTCTCACTATACTGTGAAAAAAAACCGCACCTTAAATGAATAAATACATGTACGCCATTCGTTTGACCATTCGTACCTTACTTCCTGACTAATTTATCAAAATGCGAATTGACCAAGTACCAGTTTTATACGCCCTCATAGAAATGTCCTATCCGTCAGTTCACATTTCCTTGCCTGGCAAGCTATCTTTAAAAAAAAATTCCATGTATCGAAGTTTCGAAACATTGTATTCTACGACATACCATCTTCACAATGTGACGATTTTATTGGATTGTACGGGTACCGAATGCAACAAATCAGCGACCTCGACAGAAAATCTGGAAACCATAAGCCATAATGTTTGCAATCTCTATCTTTTTTAGTATAGGCCTGCAATCAAATCACTGCATTCTGTGATACAAGAAAGCTGGCTATTGCAATCAAGATATTAGACGAAGTTCGTAATAACTTTACTTTGATCTGAAAAATTTTGATATATGTGATTTTTTGTATAAATGGTATATTTATTGCCCTTGACAAAACTGGTTATTGCAATCAAGGTATTAGACGCAGTTCGTAATAGATTATGTAGTTGATGACACTCGGACATATGGTTTCGAGAATCTAAAGATAATTAAGGGTTGATGCGAGTCGGTCTTAATTACAAGCAATACGGGGCTAATATCAGATAGCAGATGTGAATAGTAGTTGTATTAGCACGATGTATAGAAATATTATTAACACCTTGATAATCACTTATTGTCTGAGATAAAGACACCCCGGGATTACTCTTATTATTATTATCAATAACAACTTCACGGATTCATATTAACTTTTATTCTTTACACCTGTTTCTGCTGATGTAAAACTCCATTCATTTCATTTCATTTTCCTGTTTCTGCATTGAAACAGCATACACCCGAATGAAAGGGACTCTAATGTTGTCGTGGGATATTGAATTCTTCAGTTTACAACATTCTCAAAAGGATGATCAAGCGGACAGAACGCAGTTGATATCGTTTTGCTCGATCGTATCTAACTTGAAGATCTTGTAATTTGTTTTTCAGCAAAACCACTTTTTTGACAAAATCTTCTGAAATTCGTTCTTAGACAAGTTAACGTTGGGTCTGGAGATGGAAATGAAGCAAAGCAAGTATAGGACTATAGAGAGTTATCAGATGAAAACTATTATAGTTAGTGATCAATTGTGTTGGGCAACTGGGGTTTTATTTAAATTTTTTATACTATATAGGCCTCATCCTTGTAAGTCATTTAGAAGTACCACAGCACATTAAGAAACAACAGTTTTTATGGATATAGACTTCTATTTATTATAAAATCAATAATAAATAGAAGTCTATATCCATAAAACCTGTTGTTTCTTATATAGGCCTACTCTAGTCTCGTATTCCTAGATTTTACCAAAATGGACAATATACGAGGCACTGACATCTATAAATTGATAGAACCGTGGTTCACTTCCAACAAATAGCTTCGAATGAGGAGATGAATTTAAACAAATCAAAATGTACTTTTTCGGACAGGTGGGGTTGTCTGTACTCCTGTATTATTCGACAATTTTGTGCGTGTGTTCACATATTTACAAAACAAATTGTCAAAATTACTAAGTACAAACGTTTTCATTGGACGTTTTGGAAATTACGCCTAAATGAAGGTCAAATGGGAATTAAAGGGAGATATCATGCTCTAAAAATTTCTGAACACCTGTAGGCCTACGTGTTCATATAGCTGTATCATCAAGGACAATTTACCTCAAGTTCATGATCAAGTTTAAAGAGTTCTTTTCCTTTCCTTTTATGTCATAAGCTGTTGCAAACTGTTATATTTGTCCAACTGTCGTGATAGTATGGGTTTGTCACGTCAGAGGAAAATTAGTTCTTTTACGCTAACTGTAATGTTTTCAACCTTTAAGGGATTCAAAAGGAATTCTTAAATAACCGGTACTGTTTGCTCTCCTTTACAATTTTCCTACGGATTTCCTATCTGACGACTTTGATTTTTTGAAATATTGGGACTTAACCCAACTATTACGTCACCATTGCAAATACCATTTGACCTTGCAAGATGTAGGCCTATGTACGCGCCTCAGCTTCGGCACTATGCCTTTAAGAGCCCATTTTGAACGCTATAAAGTGATACGGAATGATGTAGCTGGTCATGTAAGTATTGAGATAGGCTAGTTAACGGTTCTATTTCTAGCAGGAGAAAATTAAGATTGTTATATAAATTTAAAAACAAAAAGAGTTTTCTAATTCACATTTCAACATTCTACCAATTGTCATCTAGCCTTTATTGCGATATTGAGCAATAAACATTTTACAAGAACTTGTTAATCTAGTTAATATAGCCTAATTATATTTTATCAATTTCAAGGTGTCAGTGTAGGCCTATATGTTAATCGTCATCAGAAAGAAGGCAATAGGCCTACCTCAAGGCTCCTCGTTCCAAAACCCCACCTCTATACTCTAATCTTTATTATGATGATATTTCTTTTGTCCCCTTAAAAAACCGACTGTCTACAATTACAATGGCTCGTTAAAACGATTCAAGCATATTATCACTTATATTAAACAAAACAATTTAGAAATTGTCAATCTGTGCTTGACATTAGTCATGATTATTCGACAGTTCACAACGTTTTCGGAAATAAAATTTCGAGACAAGAGTCTTTCAACTTAAACTTGTCCGGCCACATTTCAATAACTGTGGATTCATTTGTTTTGTTCAAATTATTGGTTGAGATCAAGTATCCTAATGATGTCTGTAAACTCAAGTCACGTGGTCTGATTACTGCTGTTACTTTTTTTGTCTTAACTCTCCAAATTTGAAAATACGAATAGCCTACCTTTATAAAGGGGAGTAATTCACATTTTGCTGATTGTAAACAAGTTGAGAACACGTGTGGAAAATAGATTAAAAACATTAGAATTGTGGCTTTTTGATCAAATTAGGTGTTAAAAAGATGGCATTGTCAAATTTAGTAAGATATTTTGAACATCATTTTCAAAAATTAAGATAATTTGAGAATCACATTGATAGAATATGTATCGTACCAATTTTGTCCCAACAACAACCCAGCAAAATATCATTATTGTTTTTTGTTGTAAATCGAAGTCGAAGCGTATATTTGATGCAGATGACCTGTTATATGAGTAAAATATTCATAAACAAGACAATTATTTATCAGTTGGAAAACAGCATGTTCCAAAATTATAATAAAAGTAATCTAATATCAAGAAAATAATGTAAGTTAAGTGGGCTGAACTTAGCAAATACATTCAACTTCTTAATGTTAAATGAAATTTAAATTTTGGCCCTGTTGCTGATAGAAATGCCAGTCAGAACGGTAACGAAAATGGCACAATAGAATGGGAAAACAACAACATCGCCAACCTTTGTGTCTTCACCAGGAAAGTTTGCTCAAAATTTGGGTGAAGTTGAAGTGGTATTGTTTTTGGCTTATAGTGGTTTCCCCCTTTACAAGTTTTAATATTATGTTATCACATTCATTTGTGTTTTTACAGTCATCATCGCAAGTTCAGTCAATTGGAGCAGCCTTACAGCGACCAGAAGAAATGGGTAACCGGGTGAGCATTTAATTTTCTAGAGACCTATATATCTTTTTAAAACCTATTTCTACAGGAGGTCAGTAAATGGTATTAATTGAGAGGTCCCAGAAAATTCCTGTGAAAATGACCAACATTTCACTTTCAGAACTAAAATTCTTGTCTGTGAAATCATAATTCCATGTAAAACGAAAATGCCAATCATCAACCCAAAAACAATCAAAGACTCTCAGTACTGGAGTTGATGCTTCAATGCTTACAAAAATAGTTAGTGAAATTTGATACTGTAACCATTGTGGTCTGACAGTTTACTCACTTGATTGTGTAAGATCAGTAGGCTTTCATGTATTTTTTACCTGTTACAGGAAGATGTAGAATTACAGTGGGCCATTCAGGCTTCTAATCATGCTGAAACATACTTTAATGTAAGTATGCCAAGAAACATATATTATAGGAAACCAATAAAATAGAACAAATATATAACTTCATTATGTTAAAATTTGATTTCAAAATGACATCAGTATGATATGGTTATTTTTGAGTGACTGAGTACTTTCACTTTAGAAACACAATGAAGTAAGTCCCTTCATTTTTGTTTGTGTTTGAAAAAAGTGATGTATGGTTTCAAGTAAATATGACCTCAAATCATAAAGAAATACGTTGTGTCTTACTTATCCTGAAGGTAAAGTTAAATAAAAAAAAATTTATTAATGAAAATTCTGCATTTTGCTCCTTTAAATCTATCAACCATGTTGTAGATTATAACAGCAGTTGACCCAACCACATTAAAACTAACCAAATATGATGATGAAATATATAAGAAATTTAAAGATGAATTTCCTGATTTTAAAATTGATGTGATAGATACAGAACAGCTCAAATCACCTGAAGCCAAATTGGTGAGTATGAAATATAATATATGAAGAGCAACTACATTTGCTAGTTATGTCTCGATTGAGGCTTTTCCCTCATTGCACTCTGCATGGTATTGTCTGTCTTCATTAGCCCATCAGGTACTGGAGAGTAGATTGTTAAACTCCATTCATTTCATTTTCATTTTTAATCAGGCTGGACCTGTTCCCTAATCTGGAGGTCCCCGTATGTCATTGGTGCATGTCAGAAAGTCATTGGGCTGACTTGGAAAAAGTGTAGAGTTGTTTGAATGGTGTTCATTAGCCAAAATAAAGGACTCAAAACTCATTTGAAATGTTCAACCTCTATATTAGTCTGGGATTTAAACAGCATTTTGTATAAGGCCATACAAAATAAATAGTCTGTTTTACAGGTCTTTTTTTCAAAAATCGGTGCGAGAGGGCGAATTTATTATTTATTATTTATAAGCGCTCTTTTACATTTTCAACTGGAATAAATCGGAGCGAGTGAAAGTAATTATTAATTATTATCACAAATTAATGTACATTTAATATCAAGGCAACAATCAGGCATTTCATTTTTGGGCCTGTAAATCAGACTATTTATTTGTATGGCCTTATTTGTTTTATTGTATTGTTTTTATTTTGTAGAAATGGCGACCATTTTGTGAAGAATTTAAGGAGGTAGAAGATTATAATTATGGTTCATTGTTAAGATTGGATGCTACAAAAGATTATTCAGAATCTAATTCTATCTTTGGTAAGGGAATTTCTGTCACTTGCTCTCTATGGCTGAAAGGGATCTTTGATATATAAAAGGCCTGACTGTTGTGACAAGGGCTGTTGATCTGGCTCTGTTTTGTAGATGGAGACAAACAAAGCACTGTGCAATGAAGAACTATATGCCACATAGTGGTAACAGTTGCCACATTGGGCCATAGTTGTATACCCTTATTCCACTTATGTGGATGTGCTAATTTTGGATTCGCTAATTTTGGATTCGCTAATTTTGGATTCTTGGATGGTTCAACCTTAGCCCATCATTTTTTTAAAGTAAAATGTGATTTCTTATTTCAGCTTTGAGAATACAGTTCTTAGCTATTGAAATAGCTAGAAATAGAGAAGGATTAAATTCAAACTTGAGATTTACTAAAGGACAAACAGAGAAAAGTGAAACCTCGTAGCTGATATACAAAGGTCTCTTTTTTTAACAAATGGACAACTCTTATTGATGCAACCTTCACTTTAAATCTAAGGCATTGAAACTTCTGGATTATAACTGTGGCCGAGCCAGAATGTTTTCTTGGAAAAATATAATATCAAAACCTAGGATTCTAAGATGAAAACTAAACCTAAATTTTGCCACAAAAAATGTTGTCGAAACAAACTGACAATCTTTCATAAAGAAAATCTGTTGCTAGTGACAATATTGTATTTTCTTGAATGAATTTAATCATGAAAATAATGTCATAAATGAACCTTATTTATAGTATACTAAAATGGCAGTAAATTGGTTATTTGAAGAATTTAGAACTCTTTATCTGCTATGTAATAAAAGTGCATGGCAAGCCACCAGTCATTATCAGCTTAGACAAGATATAAGATAAGCTTATATATTTTATTAATTTAAGTTAAGAAATATATAAATAAGGGTATCATTAACAATTTATACAGTAACAATAATATAAACACAAAATACATGATGAGATTTGAAATACATCTGTTAAAAGGGAAAAATGTTTTTTCGTCTTAGTCGATTAAACCTTGACTTAAGAGTCTATCCAGAAAAAAATCTCACACAAAAAACTTTAAATTGCTTAAAAAGTCAAATATTTACTTTCCAACTTAAATGTAATTAAGAAACATTTGGTACTGTTTGTAATACATATAGCAATATACTATTTCTGACATTTATTAACTCAACGTTTCACATTCTCATACAAGCATGTATGAGCATGTAAAACATTAATAAATGTCAGGAATAGTATATCGTCAGCTTCTTTAAATATTTGGTTATTGTTATATGTTTTACTTACTAAAGTATTAACTTTCCCTCTATTAGTAATTTATTAACTTATCGCGATAAAGGAGGGTTAAAGAACAACAATTCTCATCAGAACGTTAGGAAAAGGGAGATAAATCCAATATTTGACTAGGAGCAACATTAATTTGTTTATAAATGTCAACACACACAACTTTCAACTTCAGCAGATTAAAAATGTATCTCTATATATTTTGTATATATTGTAAAAATAATAAATAAATAATCAATTCCTAATTGTCTCATCTCCATCAAAAATTGATCACTCCAAATAAGGTTGGCACCATTTTCAGTCCGTCTATTTGGGCTGATACAGAACCAGAATAATTAACCATATTTTTTAAATCTGTAGTGGATTTCTCTTGATAATCCTAGAATTAAAGAAAATTGGCAATCATATATTATGGGAAACAAACATTTACATTCGTTAATTAATGGTTGAAAATCAACAATGCATCGATTCCCATTAGCACCAATTCAATCCACCTCACCCAATCTCCTAGCAGACAATTAGGTAACAGGATAATCTTGCCAAGATAGTGGCCTTTTCGTTTTATGTTCAATAAGAGGGGAACTATAACTTTAAGAAAAATAAAAAAATGAAATGAATGGAGTTTTACGCCCTACTTTTCTGCACCATGTGGGCTAATGAGGGAAATTTTGGCAGCGGCATTAGCCTGCTCTTTTTTCGATTTCCAACTGTCAAGGGATCTTTAACTTACACAGCCTGTAGCACATGGCGCCTCGGTTTATTGCAGAGTTCAAAGTAGGAGGAACAAATGAACATACTAAGTTTTGACATGGGGTGATTAAAATGTGTGAGCATGCCTCATTTGCCTCCCTAAGGACAACCAGTATTATTTATAATTACCTGAAGCTCCTGAATTTCTTTTAACATTGATAAGTGTTTTTCTTGAGCCTTTTGAACATTTCTTCGCAGACATTTGATTTCTTGTTCTCTTTCTAAATATAAAGTTAACAACTGTTTAAATACAACATCAGATGTATGTCCATTGTGACTGCTGAAAAGGGTCACAGAATCCTTGTTGGGTGCCATAGACACTACTTAATTTTTGGATGTTGACTCTAGAAAGCACTGTCTGTCAGCTGGTCTTTGACCGAACCTCTTGGCATTGGTCTTAGCTTTGCTAGATTTGTTAACAACTGCACTAGTTATAAAACAAATAAGGAAAACATCATGATTCATAAACTTACCTGAGTTTTTTTGAAGGAAATTTTCAATAAAAGACTGCATATCTAAAGGATCAGCTACATGTTGTGAGTCAAATGAGGAGTGTGGGGAGGAGGTCAGAGGAGATATTGATATAGTATCACCAGGTAAACTTGAAGTCACTGTTGTAGTTGTTGTTAACCTTTCTATTGAATTTTGATGTTGTTGTAATTGTTGTTGTGCCTGTTCATTTGCCAATTCTTTTTCTAAATCACCTAAAATCAGATTAAGAAAATGTTTCTTTAAAAATTGATTGCGTAAAGTAATGTGATTTTGTGGTCTGGATTAGTATCTTCTTAAGAAGAGTTACTTCCCTTATAGTAGCAAGTCTCTTAATTAAATCATATATTTCAAATCCACCCAGAACACATTATGCTTTACCATTGCTTGGATTGTGCTTGTCTTTTCATTGATGGAATTATGGAGATTTGATACTCCAAAATACATGGACGGCATAAATGAAAAAAAGCTAAGTGTAGAAATAGGTTCTGTTATAAAGAGCATCAGAATTGGCTTACCTGTAATAGCTTGTAAATGTTGTCGACCAAACATATGCTCTTTTTTATTATGTAATGAACTAAAATATTGGTTACAAACTCGACAATGTAGCTCACCTACGGAGTCATCCTGTAAATAGAAAAAACGAGTGTATTCGACTTCTTGAATGACGACAAACTTAGTGTCAGATTTTTACTTTAAAAAAATGATCTGCATAGATAAAAGAGCATTACTAGCTGTTTAAAAGAAAATATTTTGATAACTATACACAGTTCAACCTAATCACAGACAAACCGAAAGTAAAATTTTCATTCTAAAAGGTTCTTTGGACAGCTGAAACACTTACCTCTACATCTATAATAGGGTTATAGTTATCACTAATACACTCTATAATATCATTAACATCACCACCTACAATACACAATTATTGCCCTTGATTATTCATAATACATTGATGTTAAAACAAGTGTTCCTTGTTATCTCAGATAGCATCACTGATAATGGGGAAACCAGGTTCAAAATCTGAATGCATTTTAATTGGAGGCTTACAATGATTGGTCAACAACTTCCAGGCGACAGGCCTCGCATGATAAAATATATTACTATTTACCATTTATCTGTTTTAACTTTCGTTTTTTCATTATATAATTTTTATACTGTTCAGATTGTTGAAAAACTTTTAATTCATCTATATATCTCTGCTTGTCTGCACTAGCCTCATCTAAATATTTCTGTAAAAATTATTAATTAATATAGGTCATTTGTCCAAATGTTACAAGGTTATATATTGCAATTTTAACACCAATTTTTCAAGAATGATTCAATACCTAAAAAAAGACTCTATTTTAACTCTTGGATTTCTCCTAACTCTACTTTGGGTTTCTCTATCCCAAAATCTGTCCTTGTTATCAAGAAACATTTTCTAAATAGACAAATATCAGACCTGTTTTTTATCAGTCGACATGCTGGACCATTCTTGACCCAATATTTTAGTAACTTCCACAAATGGTAATTCAGGGTTAATTTCTTTGATCTGTTGTCTTCTTTCCATAGCATATATAACATAACTACAACAAAAGTTGAACCCCATAACTTATTCCAATTTACAACAAATAATAAGTTCTTGACTAAAATTTGTTTTCTGTTTCTCTAATGTGATTTATGTGCTGATTGAGATGTTTTGTTTTCTTGCTTTTTTTACAAGAGTCAACAATGATAACTTCAAGAAAAAAAAAGATGTCAAGATCTACATTATTATTGCATTCCCATTGAATCAAACTCTAAATAAATAACAACAACAAATCTAATGTTCCAGTTAGTTCATACACATAGCTTCAGAAAAACTTACCCTGAAAGTGGAGCTCTGGGTGCCTTTACTTCTGGTGTATTCTTCCTCTTTTTACCTTTCGGCCATCCACCTTTCCGTTTTGGCATCTAAAATGGATAATACATAGTCTATAGACATTATTTAAGAGAAGGTGTACAAGTTTTTGATGACAATCAGACAGTTATTATGAACAATTCACAAACTTTAGCCAGTTGGGGGTGTCTTTACTCTTCAGATATTTGGCACCTTGCACTTGAAATCTGAACAATGTCAAGATATTATGAACTCTGTCAAATACCTTGACAGCATTTGGAACTAACCTTGTATAATGTATAGTTTGTGTATGCAACAATTTGATTGGTTTGTATGCTAGCTAGCTATGATTTGATTTATAACTTACATGATACAAGCAAAGTGCCTAATGATATCAAGGATTTAGACAAAGTTTGTAATACCTTGACATGGTGAAGACAGACTTATAAAGACAGTAGACTTACATTAGCATTATTAGTCTGTGTGACCGTAGAGGCTGTATTGGTATCTATAGTCTGTATGCATAATATCTTCTTACTGACATCATAGTCTGTACTATCTACTAAACCATCTTCACCAGTAGGCAGAAACAACTGGACTAAAATATACAAACAACTAATATTTAGCCCTGCAATTTTTTAAATGATGTGTTATATAATTTAGAATTTGTGGAATACAGTGGTTAAAAAGTTGTGAAGCCATACTGATTGACCAAATAGATATTGCACAAGATTATCTTCAGATTAAATTCTATATGTGTCAAATTTTACAAAAGAAAACATAATAGTTACAACACAAATCTTGCGTGAGAAGGAAGAATCAGGTCTCCAAGTATGACATTAACTCAGTTTTGAGGTTACTAGCTAGTCCCGTTTTGAAATTTTAACCTTCATTTGTAATAAAGTTGCCCTGATGAGAACTATTTATCCAAAACAGCATGAAATAAGACACAATGAATCACACTTAATATTATAGGTATACCTTACCTGGTAGATGTACCAATCTATTACCAGCCTCATCTACTGTACCAGTTAATGTACTATAGGTAATATTCCCCTCTCCATCAGTTGATGGCAGTAAAAACCTTCAAAAAAATACTGTCACAGTTTAAACATTGATTGGGGATTTCAACACTCTTAGATCCAGATCTTGAATCATTTTCACTACTCTATTTATATAGAAACTATCTGAAGCCATGATCAAATTGAGTTGAATATAATAATTTTAAAAATTTACCAAATAAGAAGGTTAGAAGCCTAACATTATCTGCTTATTCTTGTCATCAGAAATTGAAGCGGTATTGACAAACCTAGCTGAAGACAGACATCTTATTGCTTATTCTTTTGTTTCAATAAAGTACAAGTCATAAACAAAACGAAAGGCCTTATATTATTAAACATAAATTCAATACAATATGATATTAATTCTGTTTTTACCCTCTTGGACTTTCAACAAACACAGTTCCATTGGACAACATCCCTGATTCATCAATTGATAACCCATCCTTGCTGCTTGAATCTGTTTGAAATGTGACCGGTAGATGAGGTTCAGACAGGCCTGTATCAGTTGATACTGCTGTTAATTGGATGAAATTATTATCCATTCTTAAAATCTTCTTAACATAAATGTATTTCAGTAACAAACAAATTTAACTGGCAGCCTTTCACTACAATCTGACTTTGTAAATCTGGAAAATAGAAATGTGAATTGGATATATAAAGATTTCTAGAATCTGGTTCATTTTTTTGGCAGCGAGCATTTCTGAAGGAAGATCTGTTTACTATGTAGAATAAAAAAGAGACATGTGAGGGACCAATGAACTGAAAACTTCAGAAAAAGATATTAATTGACTGTTGATGATGATGACATTGATGACGTTGGTTGATTGATATTGATGGGAGTCAATGATGAACAAAATGGTGAAATCCAGATCGTTGTAGAGGCGTAAATTACAGTAGTATTGTCACATCCATATGTATTTTTGGACACTGCGATGTATAATGAAGAAGTTTAACCAAGAATCAATCTAATAATGGGAGTGAAAAAGATGCTTTTATACCTGCATATCTTCTATGATGTGGAATCGTTTCTTCAAGATTTTCTTGCAAAGAATAATATCAGAGAGTTACGTCCCATGTAGCAGGTGCTTTCGACACGATTATCATGGCGTAAAGTTGCCTATGTAGAAAATGGGTCCGTTGCTGAAAATATCATTGAGATCAATGAAGTGTGTCCGGTAGAAAAGAAGAAGAGGGCTTCATACTCCAGAATTGAGGCTGGCCCACCTTTATCCATCATCCCTCCACCCGCATTCAAACTTCTTATCATTTCACATGAGGAAAGATTACGCCCAACCCCCCCCCCCCCCCCACCTTTAATAGTTTTCTGTGACTCCTACAAGAAATAAGTCGACCACATACTGACGTCACTATCGCTGATACCATTTAGCCAGCCCATGAAAAGTATAATATATTTGATCTCAGATCGATTAGATAAATATAGAGTATATACTTAACAATGGGTATTATTAGTAGTATTAGCGATAGTCCTACGTAAGCCATTTGAATCGGATGATCTGACAAAAATAGATATTAGGTCAGGTTTTTTTTAAATTAGGTCTAAGTTTACACAGCATTTCAGCAATTTACATCATCACTAGGTATAGAGCTTATTTATTTACTTATATATATATTCATCTAAAGCATCTAAATGTTCAAAATTGACATTAGCTTATGTACAGTCAGGTGTGGAATACAACTACGGTTGTTTATCTCACACACAACGTTTCTAAAGTTTACATTGATATCATCGAGTGAATAAAGATTACGATACGCTGTGGTGAGTATATAGTGTATTATGATCATTGTCTCTTATACGAAATGCATGTCGCTCAAGTGAGAATCGACATCATAAACTTCCACCCAACTAAATACTTTCGATTCGTATTATGAAATTTTGCGATCCTTAAATTTAAGAAGTAAAGTTTGTTTTATTTCCGGCTTCGGTGGTTTGGTGGTTTGGTGGTTGGGATTTGAAAACCTACCGGCCTTAAATCCGCATCTTTCCCTTTAAAATGCGCTCAATTTCCGCTATCTATCACAGTTTTGCTCTTAAAACTCGTGTCAGAAAACTTCCATTTAATAATTGACAACTGTTCAATTAAACTTGTCAATGAAGTAAAGGTTTATTCAATAATTGAATACTATGCGCATAGTTCAACTTGTCAATAAATGTTTTCTGTGACAAATTACGGAAGGAAAACTGTGATAGTGAAAGTAATATGAAACATATCGTGGAAATCGTGCGTATTAATTTGTTAAGAATAGATCTTACGCAATATGATAGGCTACTATTTTCTGATTATCTTTCTTAGCAGAGGACAAGCCGAATGTGTGCTTAGGGTAGGGCGCTAATTACAGTTTTAATTTGTCAACTACATTAAACCAAAAACTTCATGTTAAAAGGTTGAAAGGTAGATAAAATCTTTTCTTTAATATTAATTGTAAATTTTATTTAGGATTATATTATTTTTTTAATTTTTGGGTCTGTGGAATATCAATGATTTCCAATTTTCTATCAGATCGGATAGTCCAATAAGATCCATTACTTGGTCAGTAAGGAGTAGCTTAACCTTGAAATGCCCAACTTAAGCGCTTTATATACGATGTATATAATTGGCATTTATGCATCACCTTGAATTGGACCTAAATTTGTTTTGCAGGCCTAACTAAAGTGCCAGTTTTTAATACACCTTTTCGGTGTCCTCATAGCCTCAAAAAAATATCGACAAGTGACGCACTTTTATATCCATTCAAACAGAATATCAATTACTTATAATATGTGACCTTTTTTAACTTGGGATTTCATTCAAGATAAGTGCATGTGTTTGTAATTTGGGGGTTTATTCCACCTCAACCTTTCTATTAGGTGCGAAAGATATCTAAATGATCCCGTCTATTAATCATTATAATGAAACGTCCATAGAAATAAAGACTGGTATAATCTAACATTTAAACTCTGAAGTGAGGTCAGCCAATCCCAGCAAACCTCAAAACATAAAGAAGCTTGTAGAAATTTAGACGTAAACACTTTTCATAGCTTGGATTATTTTGCAGAAATCTTGCTATTTTACTCAGTGACATTGACTGGTAACTCGTCTGCATTTTTATTTGCAAGTCAAGAATTACTGGTTCGTTGCACGAAGTCGAAAACCAATCGAAACAGGGGCAAATATGTCTTTGAAAAATGGTACAAAATTAGCCACGACAAATGGCGTCGAACAAAATGGCGAAGCCGTTCTTGATGAGTTGAACGGAAACCTTGATAACAGCGGAGATTTTTCCAACGAAGATACGGAAAAAGATGTAAGGAGTTTCAAGAAGTCGAAGAAAGGATTGAGGAAGAGTCCTTCTACTGAAATTAATGTGACAAATGATCATCATAAAGCAAAACAACATTTGGGCACTCAGCCATTTTCGAAAAACAGTAAAAAATCTCGAAATGGAAAAGGCAGAGGCTTGCCAAAGAAAGGTAATAAATAATTTTTATTTTTTGCATTTGAAAGATGAATTATTATCGCTTTTGAATATGATTTTAGTGCAGACATTGCAAAGATAACAGAAGTAGTTTTTCGATCAGAAAATCTTGACTGCTTGTGTTTGTTTGTTTATTTTGCTTCACAGCTGACTTTTTAGTTTTGTTTACTTTTCGTTTTGTTTACATTTACTTCCCGTTTGAAATTTTTTGTTATGAAAAGTGTAGTATTTTGAATGTTCATAACTCAGAAGCAAATTTGTTTTGTCACTATGAAATGTCATGGACCGATAGTTGTTTGATTGGTTTTATTGCTGATCAAAGCAAGTCTGGGTGAACCTGCTCATTAAATATGTCAGTCACAATATTTACTCACAAGTCGGTGAAGGTCAAGGTAGTCTATAAATAGACTATGAAGATTGTTGATTAAGATAAAGGGGGTACTACAAAGCTTAATCATAAATGTTTACAACTACTGGTACAATTTTGACGAAAATTGGGTTATATGACCTAATAGATAGTTGGTACATATCTAACTAGTAGCTTTTTATTAGTGATAGAGTAGTGACATTGACTTAGGATTGAGTTAATTGCCGTTTTGGCCTTGTACTTGGACAATGAGCAAATTTGACCTTTCTTGGTTGATGTTAGTGTGGGCCTTGAAGATATGGAGTTATACTGCATTTTATTTAGCCAAATTGGGTTATTAATGTCATTATAACTTAAATAATTGTTTACTGACATGTTGATTAGGTCTTTGACAAAATATATCAGAAACCAAAAACAGAAACAAAACTGTAATAAAATTTTAATTAGGCCTAGATTGGAGTGAGCTTAAATTTGAACTCCTGTACTAAACTCAAACATGACTATTAATTTTGAACTTGATAAGAAGACTGCAGGATCTGGTGATAAAAAAGGTCAAGTTGCTCTTAAAACTGTCATTTAATCGCATGTTATTTTTTATAAGAGTGAAGGATTACTGATATTAATAGGTTAAAGTCAAGTAGATATGAAATTTGAGCAAATAATGACATGTTACCCTTTTTATTAAAAATATGATATTGTATCTGATTATAGCATTTGCTTATAAATAGCACAAAAGCAGTTTTTATAATTCTATTATAAGGTATTACTGATTGTGACTGACATGAGCATGAATTATGAAATCTTTTAATTTCATAGCTAACTGATTTCTGCAACATAAGCGAACATGACTTCATGACAACATTATGCAGTTTTGAATAAATGTTTTATTTACTTACTCATTTAACAAAGAAAATTAATTTTATTCACCCTGTTCTGCTATGCTCTGAAAATTTTCAGTGATACTGGTATGCTATTTATTGTAAACTGCTCTCCAGGTGTCCAAAATTGAGATCAAAATCTATCATAAACCCAAAATATAAGGATTTAGAATTGGAATTAACATAAAATGAGATGAATTATGTAAATTAATTTGTTCTCATAGTAAATCAAAAGGACAAAATGTCTGTCCTTGAACCTTTTTTCTAGTCTACTTGTCACATTCTGTTCATTTGTGGCAAGCAAATCAAAACGACAAATCTGCAATTGACACAATTATTATTGTGAAATTCTGATGATCTCATGGCAGACAATGTACTTTATTTTTTTTTTTTAAAACTGGATTTTGATCATATATCCTAACTATAATATAACGTATTACCATTTCTATCAAACATGTAATATTAAACCTTATTGCATTGGGCATGTTATGTTTGTCACACTTTGAAATATTAATACAGATATTTCACGGATGGATTAGCTTAGAATATCCCTGCTTACATATCCATTAATTGTTACTTGTTCTTGCATTGGGGAAACAATGCATACCTCCCTACTTATTACTTATTGCCTGCCCCTAATTCCTCACATAAAAAAGATATATAGATAGACAATTTAACTAAGATAATCTTTACTTAATTATGTTGTTACTAGTTTTCTTGCATTAGGAGATTAATACTCTGCAGATAGTTATTACTTCAGCATGCTTGTCTGTATTTCCCACTTACAGGAGTGATTACAGATATATTACATAGTAAAGCCTGAAATAAACCCTGCCTAACTATCTATAATACTAAGCCTTTAACATTGCATAATTACTTAATTTTGTACCAATAATGCTGCTCATTAGGTGTGAAATAGGTAAAGGGAAATTAAGAAGGTGGGGATATTGAAAGGGGGCAAAATGAAAAGGGGGTGATGGAAACGGGGCAAAATGACATATGGGCGATATGGAAAAGGGTGGTGATGGGAAATAGGACAAAATGTCAAAAGGTGGATATAGAAATGGCCAATACATAGTAATAATCCAGTTCAAGGTTGCAATGGTGCTGAGTATTTTTCACTTCTGTTGACATGCATATCACACAATTGTTATTGTGAATAATTAATCTAATTGACAGTTTGATTATAACTTGGAAATGAGGAAGTGTGAATGACTAATTAGTCTATGACGACATTGATATCTTTATTTCACAAAAAAATATTTCTATTGTTTGTAATCTTTCTCTTAGAATGTCTTCAGGTCCATAGAAATATATGTTTTGATGATTCTTACGTTTGTAATAACACATTTCTCCTAAGGAATTTCTTGTGAATATGACCCTTATTTCAATCTGAAATATGACTTCTGTAATATCATATGTCCAAATAATAATTTAAAAATCTTGGATATACAATAGTATTATGGAGTTTCACTTTTTCATTCAAATATGATTGGCAATGTTTGGTGAAAACATTCTGGTTTCCATGTCTTATATTTTGGTTATTTTCCTCTGATTTCAATTTAAAGTCTCATATCTTATCTAGGAAAACTGTAATACGTCAGTAGATCAGTGACATAGATATTTAAACACATACTTTTTTCTTGTTTATCTGAAAACTCCACAATTTTATCTTTGTTATCTTACGACACAATTAAGAAGGGAAATAAGAATGCTGAAAAGTAGGCTTAGGCACAAAACATCAAGTAAATTTTTTGTGTATCAAGGATACTGAATGTAGCAACTTTTAGCACCATTCTATATTCCGGTCAGTGGTTCTTACAATTTCACTAAAACTGGGCATTTCATGACCTTACTATCACAAAAGATAATAAAAATATCCAAGGAACTTTGCTCTGGTGGGAATCTTTGCAAGTGTTGACTAGGTAAAAAATATTACGAAAAAATGATGCCTTTGTAATGAGAATTAAAGAAAAAGGTTTTGACATTTACAAAACATTAAATATTAAAAATAATTTCTTCAATTAGAATTAATAAACAAAATGGAATTGAAGCTTGTAGTTATATATATTTTGTAGATAAATATCATAATATCCCTTAGGCTAATACTTCTTCAAAGATCAATATACAGACAGACAAGTTTACATCTCAGGTTAACCTTGAACTCTTTTAGTGCTGTTTCATTCTTATTTTCCTATTTAGCGGAAAATTAATGGCTAAGAACAACCAGATTTAGTGGTTTTCCTTAATTACATCTTGTTTTTTTATAATTATCATCTGATTTTAATTTTCATGCATTTCAAGGCCTTTTTTTTCCCCTGATCCTTAAGTGTGTATGGTCTTATCCTCTTGATGCTTAGTCAAGCTTTGAATTTTCAGGAGGTGCTGGTGGTAAGGGTGTGTGGGGCAAGCCAGGTGATGAATTATTCGAAGATGGTAGATGTGATGATAGCCATGATCCTAACTATGATTCTGAGAGCGAGGTGGGTATTAAATTTTCATCCTTTTACTCTTCTCTCACTTGTTGAAGGGATAGATTAATGTATTTGTTCATATTTACAAAACAAAACATATTTTGAAGCGTGTTGATTGGTTTGTTTGAAAAGCGAAATTGTGAATGTTGATTAGCTCAGTCCGTAATATGAAGTTTACTGGCTTAAATCAAATGATGTAGAAAAATTAAAATGATGCTTATGTCATATTAATTTCAATGGTCATAAAATTGTCTCCAGGAATCAAACCTGTGTTACAAAATTTAGCTGGTGACAAGTGGTTTGTTTGTTTGAAATAACTATTTTGCTATTTAATTGACTAATCATGTTGTCTGTACTTGAGATGACTGATGATAGATCAGATAATAAACAAGCCTTAGAGCTACATGTATTTATCACTATCATAAATGTGATAAATAAAACTGCTATAAAATTGTTAACAATGTGTCACAAGTGGTCTTGGGTGTTCCTACAAGGGTTAGTCTGACCTGCCTGGTTAAATATTGTTGGGTGGATGTGCTACTGTTGGGTTAAATCACTTATAATTAAAGGGACAGGTGCATTGATTTGAGTCTTATATTTATGTAAATAGTCTTAAGAAGTACTAGAAATGTACGACAACACATAATTCCTGCAAAAGTACTTCAAACTATGAATTTTACTCACTGGAAAATTTATGTTATTCACTTGCTTGAAATTATCTAGAACAGCAGATAAGTAAGAAATTTGTCAGATCGTGGATGGCAAGTGGATTAACCCACAGACAAAAAGGGCAGATTTGCACTTAATTCAGTTTGTGTTTTTCTCAAGTATGTCCTGTGTTGATTGTCCTTATTCACAAACTTATACAGTTTGAAACACTTTAAGTTAAAAATTTTGACAATGAAACATTTGTTGTTTAGACTGTCAAAATAAAGAATGAGTTACTGTCCTGATATGACCGACATTATTTTATGATACTTTAAAAAAAGGAAATGTTCACGTTAACATGTCTAGTTTCTACTTATTCATTGAAATATATCTGTCTTAGTCAGGTTTTTACTTTCTTTAGCATTTTAAAAAACCATATCTTCATTAAAACTATGTCCCTTGTAAATTAATCATAGAGACTGTGGTTCAGTTTATCCAAATCGCCTCAGTTTGTATGAGGCAGTGAATTTAAAAGACCTTTTATGACCTCTGTCTCAATATTGAGAATATGAAATATGTATGTAATGAAATGACCTTTTTGTACCAGAGAGGTTACTGATACTCCTATAATACTCAATCATTTCTTGCATTTAATCATATTTACAAAACAAAACCCCAGAATGACAAATGGGTTTACGTTTTGAATGTGTTCAGAGATCATAAAGAGAATCTTTCAAATATTGAAATAATATAGTCCACATGTATCATCCCAAACTTCACAATGGCTCTCCTTAAATGTAAAATTAATATTTATATTGCAGGATAAAGTAATAGTACAAAGAATTGACCCACCAATTGGTGAGAAGGAGTTTGAGAAGATTATTGAACCTTTGATATTAGAATATTTTGAACATGGTGATACTGATGCTGTTATTGTAAGTTATGATCAATATCTGGTCCTTGTTTTTTTAATAGAGTGAAATTTTGATAATTGAGCCTCAAGCAAGTAAGAGCTGTTGAATCTTAAAGACAGTATGACAATATTTTTGAATAACATGATCAAAATTCAGAAAAATGAATTGACAAAAGTGGAATTAATCCTGATATCTATCAACATCATTGAAAACTCTCTAATGGATGTGTTCGAAGAACAGTGTAAATTTCAAGGAATACTTTCTCTGATGAAGTCTGTCATATGTAATGAACATGTCTTTTTAAAATCATGTCTGAAACATTGAGAATAGTCAGATAAATTTAAAAAAAAAAAGGTCTTCTAAATGCCAAAAATTTGCAAATAAATCTCAATGGTGAAAAATTTAAATTCTTTTTTCAGGCTGATCTAAATGATTTAAATTTGGGGAAATTAAAACAGAGGATGATAGAATTTGTAGTGAGTTTAGCGTTGGATAGAAAGGCAACTCATAGAGAAATGACGTCAGTGCTAATCTCAGATCTGTATGGTAAATTTCTAACCATGGAAAATATGTCGACTGGGTTTGATGACCTACTTTCTTCTCTGTCTGAGTTGACAATTGATACTCCGGATGCACCAACTGTAAGTAGGAATTATCAGAAGTATGATTTATCACTTAAGTAGAAATTATCAGAATTATTTCTATTTTATACCCCATGATTAAAATGCTACATGATTCCTTATTGAGAAGCAATTTCATTTGGTATGAAAATAATATATAACTTTAAAAAGGAATGTAAAGAGATTTTCTAAATTTTATATGTGTATCAGGGACACTGATAGCATCAATTTGCACCATTCCAATCAGATGTCAGTGGTTCCTGCAATTCCACTAAAACCAAGTGTTGGATTTCGACACTAATCTTGAATCCCTTTATTATGGGTTGCATTAGAACCATGGAAAAGTATAAAAAATAGATTTGCATATCTCCGAATATTGGATTTGTTCAGATAGATTGTAGAAAGACTAAATGTTAGTCACATGTTGTTTTGGTTTGATTCAAAGACTGGCATTGTTATATTCTTTGTTTTATAATTGATCTATATATTGACAGGTTGTGGGCCAATTTATAGCTCGAGCTGTAGCTGATGACTGTCTTCCACCTAAATATATCCATAAATATAAAGGACAACTTGAATGTCCTAAAAGCAGGTAAATTTGTCTTTCAACTAATTTTATTTCGTTTCAACTCTTAATAGTTTGTGTTCACTTTTCATGCTATTAAGCTAAATTCTTTTTCTGATTGAATTGTATCAAAAAATGAATTAGCCATCATATATCTTCTGAGTTCTTGATGTGGTTTGATGAAAATCAAGGTTGTCGTTGATTGTAGGGTGCTTGACTATCCTATCCAAGTATTAGAGCTATATTGATGGGTAGTTAAAACAATAAGCTCTATTTTACAGTAAATACAAGAACTTCTTAAGTTTATATTGTATTTCAGAGAAGCGTTAGAGAAAGCTGATGTATTATTGAGTCAGAAACATGGTATTGTTAGACTTGATAATATCTGGGGTACAGGTGGGGGAATCCGTCCAGTCAAATATCTTATTAAACAGGTAATAATATCTTGTTTTTTTAGTTTAAAGTTCCTACAAATGTAGCTCCAAATTTTCAGTGGAAAAAACGCAGATCTAATTTCTTTTGAGGATGGTCTCTGTAACAGGACTGGTTGTAGCATTGGAATGTGCTTGGTTACAACCATCAAATGGTCGTTGTGGGTTCTAATCTCGGTCGGTGTGTGAAGTCTAGTGATCATATATAAGTCATCTTTCCTCATTATTCCAGCAGTAAATGTGTACTGATAATTCAGAAAACAGTGAGGCCAAGATATCTGGCAAAGGACTAGCTAGTAGACAGAATCCTCTTGAACCAAAGTTGATATCTTTGTAAATAGGGTGGTTGTTTCATTTCTTTCTTGTATTAGAATATATAATTTTGTTTGTAGATGGTGTTACTGTTAAAAGAATATCTATCATCTAATGACATAAAGGAAGCTACTAGATGTTTAACACAGCTTGAAGTGCCCCATTTTCATCATGAACTTGTATACGAGGTAAACCAGTTTATTTAATAGTATTGTGTGAAATTCCCCACTCTGTTTCATGATATTGTGGTCTGGTCCTGTCCTAAAGGGTTCAAATTGGAATTGTTTCAGAATTGAAGCAGCTGTCTCGGCAAAATTTCTCACATTGCTCTCTGCATGGCCTTATTTTCTTGTATCATTTTCATCTCCAGATGCCTTGCCTTGTTGTTGGAATTGCAATATATGGGCCTTTGACGTCATGGTTAAAAACAAGAACCATGGACATACGTCTGAAAATTAGAATGATGCAATTTGATGCTATCAGAGACATAAAAGTCTTTTATACACCTTTCAATGATTTAACAAACATATTTTTTTTATCCACAGGCAGTTACCATGATGCTTGAGAATTCAACCAACAGAGCTATGGTCAGAATGTGTAAACTGCTCAAATCATTGGTGAATGCTGTCATAATAACACCGAACCAACTCACTCAGGTAAGTATATTTCTATCATCTCAGTAAGCCCTTCAAAATACTTAAACTGTCAAAATATCAGTCCATATGTTTCAAAATAACTCCTCAGGTATGCATACCCTTTAGATGATCTCTCAGTTCAAGTATATCTGGCTAGACATCCTCCAAAATAGTTAAAAACTATTATATATTATAATATATTATATATATATGTGTCTATTTACTCCTAGTGTATGTATACTCCCAGGAAGAGGCAGGTTTTGCAGTTTTTGGCCCTTGGAACAATGGGCTGCTACCCCAATACCCATCTGATTATAAGAACACTTCTGCTCAGCCAGAAAAATGAGACCACAGCTTTGATGTTCTTTCTCATTTGATCAAGGCTACTATTTCTTCTTATTTTATTTTCAAAACCTGACCCATCGAGGACCCATTGAGGTTCTATCCCTAAGTCTGCCCCTGCCCCCAGTCAGTACATTGTATTGTGATAAATGATTTGTGTTTTGTATAGGGATTTAGACGAGTGTACCAATCTATGCCAGATTTGTGTTTGGACGTACCAAATGCTTATTCTTTGTTAGAGAAATTTGCAAATGTTTGTCATAATGAATCAGTTATAAATGATGAGTTACTGAAAGAGTTGCCACAAAGGTGAGACAAATTATTATGAATGTTTGAAGATTTCGATTTTTCTCTATCTTTTCAAATATCATGATTGTGTTTTTGTGGGTTGCCTTGTGATTTTAAATAAAGAATAGGTAATATATTAATATTAATTAATTAATTATTGTAGTTTTAATATACTATCAATTATTATGCAAATTTATGTACATATATTAACTATTCCTTAACAAAACATGGCACCAGATGTTTTGAAATAAAGAAAAGTACAACAGCAATTAAGTAAAGAATTGTAAGCTTTGCACAGTTGACCGTCGGTCTCATGTAGAATTTGCTGTCCTATTTTGTTGAAAATTTTGTCAAAAAGAACCAAATAACGACATTAAAAAAATTCTATTCCAGAGGTCGAAAGAGATTTGTATCAGAAGGTGACGGAGGACCAATTAAGGAAGTTGCTCCTTGAAAGAGGGGCGTGAAAGATCCTTGTTAGGAGGGGAGAAGTTGGGCATTCATTCCATTTTACATATTTTATGTATAGCCAGTATGAATGCTTCTCATAGCATGACAATTTATCAACAGAAAAACTTTGTGTGAATTTATATTTTGTGTTTGTTTTTTTTTTTCACTGTTGGAGATGTAAATCAAGAATAGATTAATTAATTATGTTGATGATCATTAAAAACTTTATTTGTTGAAGTTTCATGTAAATATTTTTGTAAAAACCTTTGTCATTCTGGAGGATTTTTTTAGTCTTTCCGCGAAGCATGCTCTCAAAATTTGATAATAAATGTTATTCATGTGTACTTCATTGCTACAAGTTGTAGTGAATCAAGATGCCAATTGGTTAGACTGGGCAGCTATTTAGCAACAATGTTAAAAAACTTCTGACATTCTGACAACTAGAAGGTAAAAAACAAGGTTGAATAAAGCTGCTTAGCCAGATTTATTATCAATAGCAGGAATGAATGATAATTACTCCTAATAATTCCATTGCCTTGTAAAAAGATGGCTTATTTGCTCTTTATTATCTAAGTAGGAACTCAAATGTTATTACCATGTTCTTTATCCACATTGGATGATACTATTACGCTTTATTATGAATTTTGAACTTGAATATAACCACAGGGCAGGTAGTTCTATACAGACACCGACGCAGGTTAGAGGGAGGGCCAGTATGAGAATTTTAATATGACAAAGGTTTTTACTGAAATAAGCTTATTAGTGCACATAGTTTACCAAAGAACTGGTTTGTTTCAAATATAATATCTGTTTGATTCAGATTAATCTGTATTCAGATCCAATTCTCACTGTTAATTTAATCTAGGTACAATATAGCTGGATCAAATGAATCATTAAAGATATATGCAAGTTTGATTCAATCTTATTTGTATTCAGATTATATTCACACTGAGAATTGAATCCAGATACAGAATATCTGAATCAAACATGCTAAATGTATAGTTTTATTATTGTATAGGGATTTTCATTGGTTTCATAACTCATCTCATTCATGAAATTTTTCACAATTAAATTAAGAACCACGTAAGAACTCAGTGTTAAACAGGTCTTGAAGTTATTCTGAAGATTGTCTGAATAGTTTGACTCTTGAGAAACATTTTGCATTGACATGGTTTTGAAAACTTTTCACAAAGCTTTGAATCTTAATTGTTTTGCAACACTTAAACCCTACAAACATTGATATTCGCCCTCATGATTCTGCTGTATTTAGATTACCACTTTTGATCTCCTTTTGAGCATTCTTTAAACCTAAAGAACTGGACTTGAAAACTTGGAAGTAGTTGCACTCTTAAAGTACTAAGAGTATCCATTAAGATGCTCATAGTGCTTGACTACTTATCAATTGTAGAAGAATTTGCAATTGGATGAGAGTTATCAGCCTTGGCCACACACTTTCAATTCAGTTAGTTAAGTAATGGTGATCTGCTATATAATCTGTCATGCAATTAAATTTAAATAAATAACAATAATTGCTTTTGTAAATTAACTTAAATCTGATCCCAATGTAGCTCTTCTGTTAATTCAGCTAAATATTATATATGCAATTGAAGAAATATTTTCGAAGACATTGGAAAAGAATTTGTGTTGTTATATGGTCTAAATTATCACTAGACTGAAACATCTGACTTTATTCCAGCCTCTGATAGCTTTTTTTGAAAGTTGTTCACCAATAACTGTCAATATCTATGAGGGGCCCGCATAGAGTCAGATGTCTCAGACTATATTGTCACATTATGTCTTTCCTTGGACCTTGCCATATGACTTTGAAAGAAGTGATCATGTGGCAAAATGAATATATAGGCAACTACATCACTTTAATGGAATTGTAAATGTTGATTTGAAAACATTCATACTTGTAAAAATGTTTCAAATTTTTTGTATTTTTGATATTGATTCACAAATTGTTACATTTCGTGTTGCATTTGTCTAATTAGGCAAGATTTTCAGAGTAATTAAGGAGTTTTTGAGACATTTTTATGTCTGAATTGGAATTGCTGCATATGTCATTTTCCTGTTATACAAGCTTGTTCCATCAATTGTAATGCATATAATACTTTACTCATTACCTCTGAAGATTCTGAGAGTGAAGTAGAAAGTACTGATTTTGTATATGGTATGTTATAGTATGGCTTTTGTATATGGTATAATTTTCAGAAATGTTAGTTTTAACTACATAATTTCATTGGTTTTGAATGCAACATCATTATAGAGGTAACAAACACAGTGGACATTAAGGTTTATGTTCTGATATGGTCACAATTATTCATTGTGCTTGATAGGCCTAAATCTCATCTTGAATTCGAACATTTTCTATTTAAAGAGCAGTAGATCCATACTATTTGTCAAAATGCATATCAGGATTATATTAATGGAGCCCAACTTAGCTATTTTGAACCTTAATGCCTGCAGCCAGTTGGTGAACCTCATGAAAAAATTCTTGTCGATGTCAATCAAGACTGTTCGCAAGCCAGCACCGTTAAAGTATTTCAGTACTTATGCTTTGAAATGGTTGCATTACAAAGGGAGATAATCTTAGTTTATCAGTTTCTATCACTTTGTCACTATGTGCTACTGTTCTGGTTTGTTTTTTTCATATATCATGGCATCAACAAATGTTGTTGAATAAATTGTTTAAATTTCAAACTACAGTGTCTTTTCTTTCGTTTGTCGTACTTATCCTGAAGATAGCCAGCTTAATGCTGTGTAGTGATGAATAACAATGGACCGGTGTTTAAACCACGCAATAAACTTGTAAGGATCAAATCTATATAAGGAATTGAAGACTTTGATAGAAATAAATATATCATTTAACATATCACAGTACAAATATATTAAAAGACTTGTAAATATCACAGACATGCCCCAATTATCTCAGACTCCAAAATAATCAAATACAGGACCACAAGTTTTGTTTAGTGTTTTTTCTGCAGGTTATAACCCTTGTCATTTCTTCTTAAAATAGTGTTCAGTGCATTTGATTCATTGACTATGAACATCAGATAGAGAACAATTTCGTCAGATCATGGATGGCTAGTGGAGTCACCTGCAGAAAAACACGAAATTAACCATCCAGGTTTACATTTTAATTAGACTAAGTCTATTATCAACAACAGACATAATCCTCCAATTTACCAATCAGTAACACTCTCCTGTGACACCAGTCTTCGTGCTCTCTGTTTACTTCGTCTAAAATATAGGAGATATTCATGATGTGTTCATGTAATCATATTTACAAAACAAAAGACTGTGTAGAAGCCTGTGGAATGGCATGTTCCTTTAACGGTAGATATAATCTATATCCTAGGATAGGGTTTATATCTACTGTTGCTAAGTAGATATATTATCTATATCCTAGGATAGGGTTTATATCTACTGTTGCTAAGTAGATATATTATCTATATCCTAGGATAGGGTTTATATCTACTGTTGCTAAGTAGATATATTATCTATATCCTAGGATAGGGTTTATATCTACTGTTGCTAAGTAGATATATTATCTTTATCCTAGGATAGGGTTTATATCTACTGTTGCTAAGAAGATATATTATCTATATCCTAGGATAGGGTTTATATCTACTGTTGCTAAGGAGATATATTATCTATATACTAGGATAGGGTTTATATCTACTGTTGCTAAGAAGATATATTATCTATATCCTAGGATAGGGTTTATATCTACTGTTGCTAAGTAGATATTATCCATATCCTAGGATATGATTTACATCTACTGTTGCTAAGTAGATATATTATCTATATCCTAGGATAGGGTTTATATCTACTGTTGCTAAGGAGATATATTATCTATATCCTAGGATAGGGTTTATATGTACTGTTGCTAAGGAGATATATTATCTATATCCTAGGATAGGGTTTATATCTACTGTTGTTAAGTAGATATATTATCTATATCCTAGGATAGGGTTTATATCTACTGTTGCTAAGGAGATATATTATCCATATCCTAGGATAGGGTTTATATCTACTGTTGCTAAGGAGATATATTATCCATATCCTAGGATAGGGTTTATATCTACTGTTGCTAAGGAGATATATTATCTATATCCTAGGAATTGTTTTATATCTACCATTGCTAAAGGAACATGGTGGAATGGTATTATATGGAATATTTATTACCCAAGTGCCTAATAGAAGGTTTTTCTGCCACTATGAAGCAAGGTAGAAATATGTAATAATTTTATTGAGACTTACCTATTCACTAAGGAACCTAATATTTTAATATTTGTCAATGTTAAAGGTTTTTCCTGGGGTTGATTGGATGAGGTTGTACTTTCCATGGCTTTACCTGTAAAACAAAACAGTTTTAAAGAATCAGATAACTAATTTAAGGGCCAATCATTTTGAAAGATCTGTGGTGTGAATTTCATTACTAGGAGCTGCTCTACCGACAAAATAATTATGTGATATATATGAGGTAAATCTACTCCGTTTTGACGATTACTTTTCATCTACCAACCAATACTTAATGTTTAAATTGAATTTTATATAATAGGAGTCCACAACAACAGTGCTTTGATCTGGTTTCTGAACAATGAATCTGACTGTATCTGAATCTCTTAATTAGTTGTACATACCAATACTAGATGTAGCGCTGGAAGGGCGTTTTCTATACTCTAGAACTTTAGACATCATATTCTCTTTGATAACATTAGTAGTTTGTTGTAAGGCTAGATAGGTAGATATCTGTAGGACTGGTTAAGGATAATAGCAAGAATTAAATTTGATAATAATATTACTGTTGTATAAGCTCTATCTAGAGAGCCCTCTACTGTTGGGGAAAAAAACCCAACATTTTGCAAAAAATATGACTGGCATCATCAAAAGTGATCCAAAGAGGGAATTTTGCTAAGAGGAAAATGCAAAGACAGCTGTATGATGTGTCTACCCTGTCTAGCTCTTGAGGTATCATAAGCTACAGCTTGTAGCACACAGGCTACCTGAAACCTGTCTGGCTGGCAGGCTGAAAGATACTATCCGAACTATTTATGACCAATGTTGAAGTAAATACCCCCCACTTTGCAATGACACCAGATTCTGATGACCAGAACATAAGTTCTAATCATTAACCAAACCCAAAGGTGAATGTCACTAGCAATATAAAAGAATATGAGCTAGCCTCATAATAGAGACAGCATTATCAACTCCATCAGCTGCCATAGCTTTCTCAGCTTCACAGTATAATCTCTCTCTTAATTTCTCATTACATAATGGTACCAGGTTATCCATAGCTTCTTTGTATTCCTTCTCATTCAGTTGGTTTGACTCCTGACTTTGAAACGCCACTAATTGATTTTCATTCTAAAAAAAATTTGTTTGGACAAATGCAATTTATATCCTTTTTGGCTTTGTCACTTTTCGAAAAGAACGTACATCAATATGTGTAGTCATTTCATTTTTTGCAAGAATGTATGATATCATAGTATACATTATTTATTTTGCTAATCAGAAGAGGAAAGAACATCATAAGGAATACCAATGCCCACTTGCTATTCATCTGCTTCTAAAGTGTAAATATATAAGAGTAAAATACAACCAACCTCTAGGAATCTTGGTTCTCTATATTTCAATATCAGATGTATCATAAAATCTGTCACATGACGACATGAAATATGGTTCTCACTAAATGATGTATAACTCATCTGGAGATTCTCAACTTCATCTTCCTGAAAAAAAATCAGCTTCATTGTACCATAATGAACAGACTTAACCTCATAGCCTTGTAATTTGCATAAAGAATACAAGACAAAATGGTCATTTTACATGCTACTTTGGCAAAATTCTCCTCAAATTTCATTCCAAAAGATTAGCTGCTTTCTTAGAGTTAGTCCCTTTTATTAACTAACACACGGTCAACAGCAAATATTTTGTCAGGATAAAAAACAACATCAGAAAATAAGCTAATAACTTACCCCCAAGAAAGGATAGATAACAGAAATAAAAGCTCGAAAATCATTGACTTGCTGCCAGTCAACAGAATGTATAAAATCATTCAACAGTAGAATATATCGTAGACACACAGCATCTAAATTACCACATAACACATGACCAAATAGCTGTAACATCTAAAATAGAAATATATTGTCAACACAGAGCATCTAAATTACCACATAACACATGACCAAATAGCTGTAACATCTAAAATAGAAATATATTGTCAACACACAGCATCTAAATAACTACATGACCAAATAGCTGTAACATCTAAAATAGAAATATATTGTCAACACACAGCATCTAAATAACTACATGACCAAATAGCTGTAACATCTAAAATAGAAATATATTGTCAACACACAGCATCTAAATAACTACATGACCAAATAGCTGTAACATCTAAAATAGAAATATATTGTCAACACACAGCATTTAAATTACTACATAACACATGACCAAATAGCTGTAACATCTAAAATAGAAATATATTGTCAACACACAGCATCTAAATAACTACATGACCAAATAGCTGTAACATCTAAAATAGAAATATATTGTCAACACACAGCATCTAAATTACTACATAACACATGACCAAATAGCTGTAACATCTAAAATAGAAATGTATTGTCAACACACAGCATCTAAATTACCACATAACACATGACCAAATAGCTGTAACATCTAAAATAGAAATATATTGTCAACACACAGCATCTAAATTACTAGACAACACATGACCAAATAGCTGTAACATCTAAAATAGAAATATATTGTTAACACACAGCATCTAAATTACTACATAACACATGACCAAATAGCTGTAACATCTAAAATAGAAATATATTGTCAACACACAGCATCTAAATTACTAGATAACACATGACCAAATAGCTGTAACATCTAAAATAGAAATATATTGTCAACACACAGCATCTAAATTACCACATAACACATGACCAAATAGCTGTAACATCTAAAATAGAAATATATTGTCAACACACAGCATCTAAATTACTAGACAACACATGACCAAATAGCTGTAACATCTAAAATAGAAATATATTGTCAACACACAGCATCTAAATTACCACATAACACATGACCAAATAGCTGTAACATCTAAAATAGAAATATATTGTCAACACACAGCATCTAAATTACTAGACAACACATGACCAAATAGCTGTAACATCTAAAATAGAAATATATTGTCAACACACAGCATCTAAATTACTAGACAACACATGACCAAATAGCTGTAACATCTAAAATATAAATATATTGTCAACACACAGCATCTAACACATGACCAAATTTTTCTACAGTTTAAATAACCCTCAACGTGATAAATAAAAGGAAACATACCTTGCTAGTAGATGAATAATGAATGACTGAAGATAAGAAATCATAGGTTGCCATAAACTTGATATCAGAGACTAAATATCTTTCTTCCATATACTGATACAGTATATCCTGAAATATCAAAGTGGAGGCTGAATTCTACTTCTGAGCTTCTGTGTTAAGAACTTTCAAACAGTATAAACCTCAACACTGAAACTGACACTGAGTTGGAATATGTTCTTTTGTTGCATTAAATAATTCGATTGTTGTCTGCTAGGCAAGGTTCCATGATTCAAATACTGGTAAGTAATACTCTAATAACACAGCCAGTGCTTCTGAAAGTTGACCAGGTGTCAGGCCTAGAATGTGAATTACCAGTATATGTAAAAAGATAATGCTTACCAGTATGGAGAAGTAAAAATCATCAGGACCATATTCATCTTGCCAAACTAAATAGCCTAAAAACTGCTCTATAATTGAGACAGTCTTTTCCTGCAAAATTATAAGATAATCATATTAATTTGAAGTCAGGCTTGCACGATGAAATTTTATTTGAAATTGATGTGTTTTTTCGGGGCTTCATGGTGTTTAAGAACCATTTTTCACATATTAAATATATATTCCTTCTGAAATTGTAAAACCTTTAGAGTCTGGTCTAGTTTAAAGTACTGTAAAGTTAAATCCTTACCAAAGACATTTTTCGTGGAATAACTCTTTCTATATCAGTTCTTTCAGCAAAATCTTCAAATAAAAGCTGAGCTGAATGAGTCTACAATAAACAAATCTCAACATTGTACAAATATGATTACTATTTTTAGCTATGTGAACTCTCTGAAAGTTGCAAAAGATGATCTAGAAGTGTAATTCTCAAGACTCTTTATCAACTTTGCCTAATTATTTTGAGCTTTGATATAGGCATTGAAAGCAGACAGTTTATCTAACCTTGAGGAGAATTTGACCCGATGGCTCTTAATTGCTCAGCAGTCGACAAACCAACTGTCGAACGACTTAGCAAAACTTAGTGTGAAGTTGCATTGTGACATTCTTGAAAAATGATCTAGTCCTTAGTTGGCAACATACAAATTTCATTAAGTCAAAGAACAGTTCACTATCATATGAACCTACCATATAAAGTTCTACTCCACCTAAAACTGGGGTCAGTTCAGATCTAGACCCTCCCCCTACAGTTCCTGATAGAGTGTCAACATCATCTTCACTCATCATGTCTTCTTCATCATTATCATCATCTTCATCATCATCATCAAAGGTTTCATTCATTACAGGGGTTAAGGATTTAGCTGGGGTTATAGGTTTGTTGAACTTTCTAAAATCAAATGATAAGAACAAATTACTTTCCCTATTTCCTATTTTAGAAAATGTTGATTTTTGTTTAAATGGCTAGCTTCAGATGTTTTTTAAGACAAACATAAAAAAATGTAAAAAAAATTTCTGATACTGACCTGGCAAATTCTTTATTAATCTTGACCACAGGTCTTGTAATTTTTAAATGTGAACAGTTAATAGGTAAAATATAGATTTTCTCTGAACCACTCAGTTTATGTGGACAAATAACAGTCTGAAATATAATTGAAAGATGTTAATTAAGGTGTCAAGGGAGCTTACACACAATTATCTTCCAGAGTAAAATAATAAAAAATTTGAAATCAAAATCTGACCAAAAGCCAGGCCAGCCTTCATTCCCTCCGCGAGGCAATATCCCATATTTCAACCACATTTTATGTCAGTTAAATAAAGACCTCTGCATCAAAAAGATTTTAATTTTTTTTATCTTTTACCTTTTCTCCACAACTAGAACAATATTTAGCCTCTTTAAATTCATCGTATGATTTGCCGTTATTATTAGAGGTATATAACATGGCAGCGTATTTACTGAACACACGTTCTTGAGGTATGAATGGATCATCCATTGGTTGTTCTGGTTCATCCTCTATCAATCCTGCAGCCAAACGAGAATCTAAAAATTTTGAAATATATTTAAGGGGTCAAACTGAAAAGCATCATTCAATTGTAAATAAAATGGTTGAAGAAAAATTCAAATCAAATTTTTTGTTGCAAATGTTGAGTTTTAAAAACGCAATAAATATATGCAAGTAAGTCTTGAAAGTCTCTGCTGCAATTGCCACATTTCGAATCAAAGAGCATAATGATTTGATTGAGCTTTTAATCTACCTTGTCTGTTTGCTGGTGTGCTTGTCTTTGATTTTTCATTTCTGCAAAAAAAAAAAAAAAAAAAAAACATTTTCATTCTTTCAGATTTTTGCATTATGGGTATGGATATAAGATAAGTGAGGAGATCATTACCAAAAGATGTTGCATTGGAAAAGCAAAGATAAAGATTAGAAACTGTATACAGTAGTAAGAATGGGGGTTTACACAAATAACAACAGAACAAGTTACTGTACCATGAAGGCCTGACTCATTATGAAATTGTATACAGTAGTAAGAATGGGGGTTTACACAAATAACAACAGCACAAGTAACAATATCATGAATGCCTCCTTACTCCTTATGAAACTGTATACAGTAGTAAGAATGGGGATTTACACAAATAACAACAGCACAAGTTGTCACTTGTTATTCATCTAAGCAGCAAGAAATATTAGGATCGAAAGAGCTAGAACCAATTAAAACTTACATTTGTGGTGTTTTACTGTCCTCCAGTTTTTGAAGTTGTTCTAGTAACATTGCTCTATGTTGTTTTAATAGCTCTAACTCTGTTCCCATTTCATTGACTGTTGATTTAAATCTATCTTGTACCAGTTGAAGCTGAAATTTTAACAATATTATTATCATTTATTAATAAATTGATATTGATATACCATCACATGATATTAAAAGCTTGTCCCTGCTTTATTCAGGACTTGCTAGCAGTGGAGTCATAAGATGGGGGCCAAGTAGGGGCCGCAGATTTGTCAAGAGGGTTCACAGCACCAGGCATTTAAGAGTGTGTGAGACAAAGGGGCAGAATGAAAGACAGACAGGTATTGGTAGTTACTCAGAATCTGATCGTGATCCTCTTTGATAATGTATGGCTGAATTGTTTCCGCTTTTGCAAGATATTATCATTATCATTTAAATAAACAAAGGGGCTCAGTGTAGAGCCCTATATATTCAACTTTTCACTTGAAATAGTTAAATAAAGAAATAAAGATTAGATTATGTAAAACCTCTTGGTCTGCGTCATCAATCTCCATATTCTGTAAATCTAGTTCTGCGTCTGTCATATCTTCTATTATTTTCTTCTCTTCCAGTTCTGTTTCATGTTCTTCTAAAAACTTCTCATATTCTGAACAATAACCACATAATATATTACTTATATTTACTGTGGGACCAGGGAACAGTGGAGTGAAGGAGAGGGACAAAAGGGGGAGAGGCCAAGTAGAGGACACAGACTTATCAAAGGGACCTCACATGCAATTCTTTCCCTATGTAAAACAATAAGAAGGAGTGGAAGGGTCAAAGCTGGACAAACGTCATTTATGTAGAACAATGACCAATATAGAACACATGTTGTAGAGGTATATATCAGATATACACCAGTGATAAAGTTCCTTACCTTCCATGGCTACGTTTAATACTGATAACATCTGATTCTCCAGTTTCTGTCCTGCTTCAATATCACTAACTAAATTACTCTAGAAAGAAAAAAATATCAAAAAGATCAAAATCTGGTTTTTCAGTTTCCGTACAGTTGTCATTTATTGATTATACAAGGCTTTATCACATTCAACAAAATCTGGCGAAATTTGCATCTTTTGGACAAATCAAATGACATAAGACAGACATGGATGAAATAAATAGGCACATACAGATGAACTGTGAACTTACATATCGTGTTGATTCGACTGGAATTGTTTGTTTACTTGATGGTCTGAATGCATATTCTTTGTCCAAAAAAGCTGAAAATTCAAACACAATTTTGTTTCTTTTATATTTTTTGTATTTTTGTCTGCATTGCAATCTAACAAGAAATCAAAATAGACTGTCATAGTGTTCAGAACACTGTGATCTACTTTGAGTTTTTCTATACCACAATTCATCCTTGATTGTCAAGCCATTAAGTCCTAAATGATGCAATGATTGTATAACAAGCTGTCCTATTTGACATCTAAATTGAAAAGATACATAAAAAGTTATCTTACCATTCTGTAAATCATCATAACCTTTTTTATAAGCTGATAACTGTTTTATCTCACTTTTACAATCATCTAGATTAATCTACAAATATCAATAATATAACTAAAAATATTAAATAATTAAATCATGGTTCACAATCTGCTACTCTGATTTATACAGTGTACACAGGTTTTAACTATTTATACATCAATAAACTGAAAAAAATGTTCAGGTCATTCCTTTAATAATGTTCTTTCTAGTGATAATCAATAAGATAAACTGCTCCCTACAGCTGAGTTACCAGTTGGTCAACTCAGCATCTCTTTAGATAGTAGGGGTTGAAAGCTGACACTGCCGGATCTTTGAAAGCAAGAAGTGGATCATTCCAACTAATTACATTAACTGAAATATTACATTGCCACAAAACTGTTCCATCCTTGATTAAAAGGGAGTTATTGATGTTGTTTCAAAAGTTGTTAACCCCTTTCAAACAAGGGCTTAGGAAAACCCAATATAATTTATATTGTTTAAACAGCATATTTATTCTATTACCTGTAATTCTGTAACATCACATTCTAATTGATGTTGTTTTTCTTTAGCTAATCTCTGTTCTGTAGATCTTTCATACAGCATTCTACAACATTATAACATTATAGATAAAACTTCTTAGTAAACATTTATATTACTAACATACAATTTTTCTGTATCTGTCTGGAAATTAAGCAGTAGGCATATATTTAGCAATTTTTTCTACCAATTTATTAGAATTAAAATACATACAGTCAACATCAAAGAGCACACAATTATCAATTGAAGCATATTACATACTGTATAATTGTGATTATAATGCACACCTTTTTTTACCCTTCTGTAGTCCAGAAAAGCTCTGTCATTGTAATTAATATGCACCCTGGCACATATGACAGTAAAAAAATGCATAAGAAGTAGAATATAGGTCATTCTGATAAAATTCTTCTTACTTCTCAATCTGTTCATCTTTATTAAAGATAGTATCATTTAAATCTTCCACTTGACTTTTAATAGTTTCTAATTCTTCTTCATATTCCTTAATTAACTTTTCTTTTTCTTCCAAAGTAGCATGTTTATTGAATAGTCTGAAAAATATTTGGAAATATAGATAAGAATGTAATAAATGTCCATTTAGATGGGACTATGGTTCTTTTCATGCTAAAACTTTTAATTAAATTTTAACTAATTAAATCGACCTTTTCATAAAGATGGTTTGCAAAAACTGATATGATATTCATAAGTGTAGATGTGCGCTAAGATTTATATCTATAGGAGTTTTGATTGGCAAATTTAAAAAATGCATTACATCATAAATATTCATTATTTGCATATATATTATACTTTGTCATAGTATCAGACATTTTGAAGAGACTTTGACATGTTATAAGCTGTTGTCAGTACAGTAGAGAATGTTAAAATCAAAGACAAATCATACATCATAGATTTTTTCTTTTTCTTATTAATAAATTCCATTAAATATTACCAACCTTTCTTTGACAATCTCTAACTGTTGTTTTACACCATCCAACACTTCCTCTTGTTTTATATTTTTACGTTGAAATAAACTAAAATATGGTAATCTTTGTATAAATTCTTTTAAATTACCATTTTCTCTGAAGGCTTCCCCTGTCATTTCATCACTGTAGATTGCCTCTAAAAAATGAATCTGATTGAATCTCATTCTATTCAAATGAAATGAAGTAATGATCTACTTATCTAGAATTCAAAATGAAGATAAGCCTCTATTCTGTACAGTCTCATGGGGATGCCGACAATGATATGGAAATTTATTTATTTAACATCCTAATAAAATGACATGGAGAACTACATCCTACAGCTCTTCACCTTATTGAGGACAGGAATGCTGTGTAGTATGTTGTTGCTTACCAAAGAAATCATTCCTAAGTTTCGATAAGATCCTGGAATATATTCCTAGCTGAGGAATCAATTCATCAAGGGCTTGGAATGCTAAAACAATTCTTTCTTCTGTCAAACCAGATCCACTCCATTCTACTGTTAGAACATCATACTTATTAACTGGAATATATAATATTTTTTGTATTATTTGATATATAGTGACTTAATATGTGTCAGCTCTTGAGTGGGAAGTTCTGAACAGGTTCTGGCTGTTTCAATTTTGACCTCAATCAAAGATACAGCAATGGATACTACATATACAAAATTTACACCATTATGAATTCCATCTACAGTCTACAATTTCGTTTTTTCGTCACTGGTGGGACGCATTCTGAATCTTGTTTCAAATTGTTTTATTGAACTTTCTGTTGATTCCCTCAATCCTGAACGTGAAGGACACACCAATCGAGCGCCCATAGGCATAGGAAAATTCATATCCTGTCAAAAGATAAATTGGTTTGTAAAGCATCTTATTAGTCTTTACCTATTGAATATCCATCAGAAACCTTCCCACTGGATTCTACAAAGTTCTTCCTTTCCGTACCCATTCTCAGACGATTAAACTTTCATTATTTTAGCAAAGAGTCTGCAAAATTGGCAGAATGCTGAGAAGTTGTTTACAGTTGCTAAGACAGGTGCCCGTTAACTTTTAAGACTTCAAAATAGAAGAGTTCTATTACATAAAGTGTAGTTACTTCCCTTTAATAAGCGGTCGATTTATTAACAAATTAGACTGAATTTCCAAACCAATCCCTTGCACCTTATGTACTGTTGATGTTTTTGTTTTATTATCAATTTACTGGGGAAAAAATCGACGTCGTTTTTTATGTACTGTCTGTTCATGAAAACTAATATTAACACAGTATTAATTTATTTTACCAGTTTTTTAAAAGACATTGTTAAACAGACAATACGTGTTTTGTCATGAAACTAACGTCTATAACCTTTCACTTGAGTATTTACAATTCATTTCATTCTATTTTCAAATCGTTAGCAATCTCCCAGGTTCTTTAATTGTTTGTGTGATGTGCCAAGATTCATGTTTAATTATATTTGGCGAATTTTATGCTTGATGGAATTCCCATTTCAGTTCAAATTGTCAGTCAACCTCTTTAATTCCATTTCGTTTGATACATTGCCTGGAAAATATAACAGTTAATTTGACAATTGATATCTTTAATGGCTTCATTAAACTTTTTCTTTGACAGACGACATTTGGCATATATCTACATGTATCTTTCAAATTTTAGCCTGGAGCCTATCGAAACTAGCTTATCGCATTAAGATGACCAAATTGTTCAAATTGATCGATAAAAAATGACTTTGGGTTAGGACAAATCGTTCTTCAATAATTGACCGAATTGCCGTGACTCCAGTGCACTAATCAAGTGTTATAAAGAGATATGTAAACACTAAGCCATGGGAATAAATAAGGCTTTAATAATGTATTCCCTGGAACTATCACATGTTTCCCAATCATTCCAATCAATTACAGACAATCACACATTATAATATCTGTTTTATACCCGTCACTATACGAACCATTTCACCAGTAAACTGATTCTACCATAGAGACACTCTCGGAATAGCCTTTTATATGTTATCATGGTTAAAGGACATTGTTCTGGTAACGATTTTGTATTGAACATGCATTTATGTTTAAGTTGTGTTGTCGAATGCTATCCGCTTTATTATGTCTCATATCCAACGAACATAAAAAAAATATTATTAGACGAACGAATTTCTTTTACATATCAGAAAAAGACGTAAAAGAGAGAAAATACATGAAAGAAAGGAAAGCGACAAAGAGAGGCGTGATAGTGAATCAAAAACAATACGTCATTTTAGTGCTAAATGGATTACAGATCAAATATATAATACGGCACAATATCTCCGTTATTGTCTGATATTGCCCGGTTGTCCTGATATTATCTTTTACATTTACATGGTTGGAATATTTTATAGGAAGTTCCTTCTCAATGATTGATGAGGAATATCGTTATTGGCTTAAAAACAAAGCAAAGTATACCACGCAATATACATATTTCCAAGTCAAATTCGGTGGTTTTGTTAGTTTAAATGTAATGTGGAAACAGGACACGTGGGAGAGATATTTTTAAAAATTAATTAATTGGAATTTTTACAAACATATCTTAGCGAATAGAGTACGAACATAAAATAAAAACACCTCTGATTAGTCAATATTGTCAAGCGAAAATCAAATAATTAATTGTTAAACGATCGTTTAGGAAATATTTCTAACCAGTGGACGATCATTGCAATGAGTTTTAGACAACTCATGCACCTTTTTCAATATATAGGCCTAGAATTCCCGCCATTTTTTTCCACCAAAAATCTTTTGCGTAGGAGAGACTCTTTGTTAAGCAACAATTAAAATATTCTTTCTGTAATTTGAGCACCCATCTCAATATTCATTAATCTCATAGACACAGAACACCCTCCCTCCACCCCCTCCCCTTTCCCCGGCTCATATAGACAGGGAATGAAAATAGAACTAACTTTGTTGTAATGCCGCAATTCAAACAAGACTGATCCGGTAATATATTTCATCGCCGATTTTCTTTTTTACAAAAGATATGAAGATTGAATAATTATATGACAAAGCACGATTCCGTTCCTTTTATAGCTTTCTTATACATCAATTGAGTATTTTTCTTCCTTTGGCAACATCTTCAAACGGTCAAAATGTATTCCTCCATCATAAATAAACTTTCAGTACTTCATCTACAAAGGGAGGTAAGTGGGAATTGAATCAGGTTATTGACACGACACTAAAGCACATACATCATCGTCAATTAAAGGGACAGTTTCGAGATCCGTTTTTTCCAATTGTACCTCAGAACAGAAATCTGTTCCTTCAAATTTAGATCACAAAGTCGGTTAAGAGTAACAGAGATATGTTGGCAGACAGGCAAGATTCTTTAATCAGAAGATATGGCTTTAAATGAATCTTGAAATGTGGAGGATTATTTTAGCTGAATTATTAATGAGTTTTGTTCTATAAAAGTTGTTGTCTTGAAATATCTTAATATAATCAAATTGTCGAGTGGAATTCCCGTGAGTGAAAAATTTAAAACCTTTATTTTATTGTAGAGATAAAATGTTACTGCAATCTTTGATGAAGGTAGAGAATTGTTCAAAAGGGGGAATTCATAAATATATGACCTCCCAGGGTCCCTCAGGTATGGAAGGGCAAACCAGTCATAATTAAATTCAATGCACATTTGTCTAAGTCAGTTGTAAAATGTTAAATGATCAATTCAGGGTTTTAATAGCTATTGTGTTCTTTTTGACAATTTCAAATCGGTAACTGATATCAACAGTGATCTCTAACAATTGTCAAATCTGTATTTAATCAATCCGCAACAGGATGTAAAACCCCATTCGATTTCATTTCATACCGTACATTCAGATAACCTCCTAGATGGTCTACGCTAAAACAAATTTGTCCCATTTGATCAACTCTTGAAAATGTTCTTAAATTTTGAACCGCTGTAGGCTTGTTTTTTTGTTAAGTTTTTGTTAAGTTTTTTTTTTAATTATTTAGTACACTGAATCTCCAGTCCATGTATTTAGCAACAACAGCAGTTTGCTGTGATCTCGTGTAAAGTAAAAACGCCTTACCTTTTTTTACATTATTACTAACATTTTATTTTTGGGAAACATGTGATATTTCTGGTTGTTTATCAAATCTCAATTTAGACAAAAAGACAATATATTATAATTTGACACCTCGTGTTTTTATGAAATTTATTAATTAGTGATAATGTTGCAAACGCGAGTTAGGTTTCGGAAGACTTAATTAAGTTCTGATAAACTAAAACAATATGTGATTTATATCAACAACAACGACAAAAATACCAAGGAATATATCATCATGGAAGCCTATATAACACATTTCTGTCAAAACAAAGCACGCAATTTACACGTGTCGTCAGTAAGAAAGAACATAACGTTTTGTCATTAACAAAGTACATAACATTTTTACACAATTTACAAGTGTCGATAGTATTAAAGAACATGACGTTTCACACAGCTTACACTTTGTCGTCAGTAAGAAAGCACAAGAAGCTTCAGCACATTTTACTGATGACGACAAGTGAAAATTCTGTTAAAACGTTGCTTGCTAATATGCAATCTAAATAACTTAGATTAAAATTTCGGATCTTTTTCGATTCCTGATATTCTTAGTATGCCGAGGAAACTAAAACCCTCAGAAAACGAAACGGATACGAAATTGTAATCTAAGTTTGGTCATAATGATACCATAATATTTTCTTTCTGTGTGTGCTCTCGCTTGAGGTCTCGTGTGCTACAGATTGTACACGTTAAAAATCCCTCGACAGTTGGAAATCGGAAAAAAAACAGGCTAATGCCGCTGTCCTGTTAAAATTTCCCTCATTGCACACTGCATGGCGTTGCCCGTTTGCATTAACCCACATGGTGCAGAAAAGTAGGACGTAAAACTCCATTCATTTCATTTAGCGGTCCAAATTTAAATTATGTAACAAGTGTCGCTTGAGTCACGTGCAGCGTGCGTTACACAACCTTGACAAAACAGTTTTTCGCTATAAATATTTTTGTTCTTTAATGTGTTGTAGTAAATTGCGATTTATTTAATATTCAGCGAGAATATGGTGTCAAGTTTCATAATTACGATCCTCACAAGTCCTTCATTACCAGAGATTCAAATCACTGAGAAATTTTAAAATGAAGATCCTTTGTATTCTGTAAATGTTCCATACTTGTAATCACAGACTTGGTACTATCTTCAGACAGCCTGAAATAGATAGATTTATTCCTGATATTGACGATGTATTCTTCTATACACTAATTGGATTTTAATATCTTTCTTTCCAATTAACTTCTGAGACCCTGTTTACATGTACCCATTTACCCCAGCGGTTTGTCCCCCCCCTTCTAAGATTTGATATCCTTCAAGTTCTTACGTGTCTGGTGCTGTGAGTTCCCCTTGGTATTTATGTGGTCCACACTCGACTTATTCCCATAGACGCAACCCATGGGTTATTTTTTTCCCATATTTTTACATACTCTTACATATTCTTACATATGATGTTATTCATCTGGGTAAATGATAGCAATTAATGTAGGGCTTTTTTCACTTCTTGAGTTACTTCAGTCATACATATTCTTATCAAAGCCAAGTTCACTTTTTCAACCAATGAACTCCTCCAATATTATCACAAATAACCTGATTGGTTAGCTTGGTACATGAGTTTTAGACGATTTGTGTCGTATGTTTTGTTGTTTTAACTGCTCTCGTACTGAGATCTGAAGATATTTCTATGAAAGGCATGTTCACCAAATCAACCAATAAGCTTCTTTTTCTATATACGGTGTTAATTATTAAGACTTTTAAAAAGTCAAAAAGTTTTCATTGATTGGTTTATTGTCAACTTACTAAAGGCAGAAAGTTGTTAGATCTAAAATGACCGAAAAAAACACATTAAAATTTATTTATATCTACAGGGTTGTAAACGAATTTTTGCAACTTTTTTGTGTATTT